CTCTCTCTCTCTCTCTCTCTCTCTCTCTCTCTCTCTCTTTCTCTCTCTCTCTCTCTCTCTCTGTGTGTGTGTGTGTGTCTCTCACACTGAAGAAATAACCCTCTCTTTTCTTCCCTGATTGCAGAACGCACTTAAGCCAAGATGCCTTTCAAGCCAATTGAAAACCCCAAATGCCCGAAGTGCGGCAAGTCCGTCTACGCGGCCGAGGAGAAGGTCGCCGGCGGCTTCAAGTTCCACAAGATGTGCTTCAAATGCGGTAAGTGAAACAGAATCGACGACCTTATTTTTCTCTTTACAAACTTGGGGACTTTAATGTGAGAAAATCTTGCGGGCAACGTGAACTCTATTTTTGGTTTACATCAATTTAATATTTGATTGGAACGCCGCCAGACATGTGCAACAAGATGCTCGACTCCACCAACTGCGCTGAGCACGAGGGCGTCCTCTACTGCAAGAACTGCCACGCCCGCAAGTACGGCCCCAAGGGCTACGGCTTCGGCGGTGGCGCTGGCTGCCTGAGCATGGACACCGGCGAACACCTGAGCGGGTGAGTAAAAGAAAAGAAAAAAAAAGAGAAAAAGAGAGAAAAAAAGGAGTTAGAGCTTCCCATCAAATATTTCAAATGTCATCGTCCTCTCCCATGGAATGCTGGGGGTGTTGTGGGGCAGTCTGGAGGGGAGATGTTAAACACGCGTTCCGAAAGCCGCGATGAACGAGAGCGCAATCATCGAAAAGAAAAAGAAGGAAAAAAAATATGTACCTTGAGAGTATAGGGCGCAAGATTTGTTTTCTTTTATAAGAAATAATAACAATAGTCTAAACGAGAGTGCGTATTCCTGATGTTTTGTTCTGCCGCTGAGGTGCCTGTCAGCTCCCGGCTCGCAGGCTCTCAGGTTCGTCGGAGGGCTCCTTGGAGGTTTCTTGAGGGTTCCCTGTCTCACCGAGTCTCCATCTCACACAGAATATTATTTGCTTCGCCATATTACCACTCCTACCCCCCAAAATTCACTGTCTTGTTGTTTTTTTGACGTCGGTTAAGAGAAAAAAGTTTACAACGGACAAGTTGCAGTTTGATGTCGATTGATTAAAGAAGATGATGTACGACAGCGGCACGGCATGTTACGTCTCCCCCCCAAGTTGCCCACGGTGGTACCCCCTCTGTGTTGTCCATACATATCGTCCGCCCGTCCGTCCGTCCGTCTGTCTGTCTGTCTGTCTGTCTGTCTGTCTGTCTGTCTGTCTGTCTGTCTGTCTGTCTGTCTGTCTGCCTATCTGTGTCTCTTTCATCCGAAATGTATGGACGATCTGGAGGTTGGCGACACAAAGATGGGACTCCCTAAATAGTAAAACAAAAGTAGGACTTGGCTCCATTCCAGGGATGGTAAATAAGTATTTTGTGTCTTCATAATGGGATCTGAGTTTTAGGGCCGTTGGCACAACAAACAACTCTCTTTGAAGTCACTAAAATACTTGAGCACCCTTGGATAGGCGTGGAGGTATTTCTCTTTTGTTTTGCTAGTTTTGTTAGCAAGCTGACGTCATTTTAACGCCCTCATGACGGAATGTTCTCCTGACGGCGTTAAAATCCAGCCGACAAGTTCTTCCCCTTGTGTCTCCAACGTTGGAACGCGCTAGAGCGCCGCGGCCCAGCACAGTTGAAAGAACAGATTGTATTAATATATAGAACATCGTGGCAAACTTTGTTTTTTAAACCCATGTCATTTACGAATTTCCATCCCCAAAACAAATACGTAACGACATGCCTGATTATAAAAAATAAAAAAAATTGTCACGATACTCTTTCTTTTGTGTCTCTTTGAACAGTGCTGCGAGGGACTTAGTTGCACCCCCTAGCCGTTCCCTTTTGGTTTGTGTGTTCTGTACCGTGCATGGTAGTTACTCCGCTCCCTCTCTCTTTGTAGCCAGTAACTCCTGAACGCCTGCCCACCCCACCCCGCCCCGCCCGCACCGCCCCGCCCGCCGGGCGTTCCGCACGCCCAGCACCGCACGCCAGCCCAGCGGGACCTCACTACGTTTTTATATAAATATGATATTAATATTTTAAAATGTCCCCCGTCGGAGCGAGCGTCCCGTCACGGTGTCGGTTCCCTGCCGCGTCTGTCGCGTCCATGGCGACGCGGCGGGCGACGGACGCCGAGGTCACGCGCTCCTCCTCCGCACCGGGTGGACGATTTCGTTCCTCTTATTATTTTTTTATGATACCAATACTTTTTATTAATTAAAATAAAGTCGTTGTAGTTTACTTTTTCGTTATCCTGGGTGCATGAGGATGCATTTCTTTTTTATGTAGCCCTAACTTGATAGTGTTTCGGACCATTTGTCTCTCACATTATTAGTTTTGTTTGGTTGCAAAGGCATGTTCGTCCATCTATACCTGTAAGCGCGTTCACGCTCAAAAAATGTATGGTGTGGCCACTTTTTACTGCCAAAAAAAATGTGTATCTTATTTTTGATCAAAGAAATAAAACTACCATCGGGGAAAAAATATACTTTGACTCGACTCGCTCTGTCGCTGGCAAGGTTTTGTAGGGCCGACTTTGAGCGCGCAGCCCGGGGGCCAGGTCGTACCTCGAACTCGAACCTCTGGTTGCAGCTCTCGCCGTCCCGGACCTTGCCGGCTGCCTCCCCCTACCCCACACGACACTACACCAAGCGACAAGCCTAGGAGGGTGTCATTTTGCATGTCTGTCTGTCTGCCCTTCTCTGTCTGTCCGCTTTCTGGTAGAATCTATGAGATAATAGGGAGAACCTCAAGGTAGCCCCTCAAGTTGCCCTCTGTACGTGTGTATCTCTGATTGGTCCTTTCAGCGCCCGAGATGCCTTCTCTCTGATCATTTACTTTATAGTTATCATTTTTATTATTTTTGTTCTCTGTTCATTTCTAAAGCACTTATTTCTTGCCGACTTGAGGGACCGCTATCACTTCCTTGCCGCCCTTTCTCTTTCTTTATTTTTTTCGATGACGCTCTCTTTCTTCTCTCAGGGGCTTTGGAGAGGCCAACACTGGTAAAACAAATGTGCAAACATTGCACACTTATGTGTGCAAAATAATTGTGATTTCGCACATTACATGGTGTTTAACTGAATTGCATTCTTCGTAGCGTGTAAACATTGAACTAGAGTTGGCTTAACGTCTGCGAAGAGTCTAATGTTTTCACACTAATTGAATTCTAGTTCAGTTCAAAACCATGAATGATGTAAACTCTGCACATCTTAAAACTGTAAATCACTTGGTGTGCAACTTCCATAATTTGTATTACCAGTGAAAGCAATACAGAGGGCTTAATCTAATTTTAATTTGCATGAGATTCATTTTTGTTTTGCATGGGGATAGTAATTTTTTTCAACAAGGTCACTGCAGTAGTGCAAAATTTCAAATATTTTGTTTCGATTTGTTTGGATTTAGTTTCCAGTCTACGCGGGAGCAATGACCATATTTCAATTGAGCCCTAAGATTTCTCTCTTTTATCACTTTAATTGATCTCCCCACTCTGAGACGGATGTCATCCATGCCACCCTCACTGTCGCACAAACAAACAATACTCTACAAAGTGTTTAGCACTCAAACAGTGCATTGTGATGGTGCTTGAACGTCACACAAGTTTGCTTGTAAAGAAAAACAAATACACCTAATATACTGTCACCAAAAAAAGAAAAAATCAAAGAAATGGTGACGCCGAAAACAATATTCTTAATGATACTTTAGTGATTACTTCAGAAGAATCACAATTTCTCAAAGGACCTGTTATGACTGACAACAGGTAGGTCTACTACATTGTTTGTGACAACACGAAAAACTTTGTTACATATTTTAAAAACTTCGTCACAAATTTATAAAATTTGCCAACAAATATAAGCTTTGTCACAAGTTGAAAATATTGTTTAAAAAATTCGCGACATTTAAAAAGAAAAACAATATTGTCTGAGAGTCGATGCGACATTAAATGTTGTTTCTTTTGCATTTTTTTTCGATCTACATAAATTTTGTTTTTGAGAAACACAAAATGTCGACGACGTGTATAGCTCCAAATTGTGACAACGTAAGGAAAACTGGAATCAAATTGAGTCTTGATCAAAAAGAAGTAGCTATCAAACTTGACACAATACCGATACTTGACGACACGAAAACGTCACCATGTACGTGTCGAACCGCACTGACGGCGTGCCCTCCGCACCAGGTACGTCGGCGAGGGTGCCCGGGCCCCCATGGAGCCCCGCGCCATCGCCAAGGCCCCCGAGGGCGAGGGCTGCCCGCGCTGCGGCGGCTTCGTCTACGCCGCCGAGCAGATGCTGGCCAGTGGAAGGGTAAGTACCAGGACAGGCAGAAAACTAGAAAATATCTAAAGACGAAACAAAGAAACTCAAAACTTTTAGTGTAAAATGGTACGACGAAAACCTCTAGTCTAGGAAGTACAATTTTAAAGTATGTACTTTAGAAGTACAATGGCAATACAAAGATGGCTGTAGATTTTCTTACTTTTCAGTATACGTTTCAGATAGAAACACTCAATACACGTCGAGTGCGATAAAAAAAGTCAGTGGCACCGCACAAAAGGACCTAATATTATGGTTGTGGGCAAATTATGCCATTATGCGACCATTATGCCATTATTGTTACTATTTAGAGTAAGGGGGTACTTTTTCTACGGCTCTCTCTCTAGTTGAGTCATCGGTGCAGTTAAATATTTTTTTTTGTAGAATGTATAGTTTTAAGTTACCCTGTTCGAAACAATGTTGCTTTCTTCGTGACGATGGGGCATTATTATGGGACGCAGGGCTGGCACATGGGTTGTTACCGCTGCAAGACGTGCGACCACTGGCTGGACTCGGTGACAGTGTGCGACGGCAGCGACGGCGAAGTGTACTGCAAAGGTACCTCGGTCACGCCGAGCAGCCGAGCACGAAAGTGGGCACGAGCACGGGCACCAAACGTTTTGCACGCATCACACCCCCGAGGGGGAAATCACTTGGGTTCGTAGCCTATGCGTGCTATTTCGTGGCATTTCTCCTGCCATTTTGCTTATTTCTCGCCTATTTCGGGGTATTTCGCAGTATTTCGGGGGTATTTCGCGACCATCTCACCAACTATTTCGCGTCTATTTCGCTGTATTTGGCCTTTATTTCGGACTATTTCGGGGAAAGGTGTACGAACTATTTCGCAAGTGATTTCCCCGTCGCCTAAAGCATGGCACAGAAGGGCACGCGACAATCTCCAGAATCGAATCTCAATTTTGAGTGCGCTTGTATGTACTTCGTTTAAAGAATCAGAGGGTGCAAGAAATAAAACTACGAAAAAAAAAAACAGTTATAAAATAGCTTGACTATACTCAAATTTGAGATTTTTTTGTCTTGAGATTCATGGTTTGCGCATGTGAACGCCACATCCCCCTACCCTTTTTCCCGCTAGAGCGCCGCGGCCCTACCCCACGGCAGCGTTCCGAGTGCCCCTGCCAGGCGGGAGTATTTCCGACCCTGTTCACAACCCTCACCCCCACCCCGTGTGTCTGTGAATGACGGCATGCGTCCTGCACGCGCCTCCGTGTGTGTTCCAGGGTTTTCACAAGGAGTGCTTCAAGTGCGGCGACTGTGCGAAGCGACTGGACTCTGTGCTGTGCTGCGAGGGTCCAGACAAGGACATCTACTGCAAAGGTATAGCGTCGGCGGCCTCGGCCTCCCAGGGAGACGCGCGCCGCTGGGGGTGTCTCTGGAGGTGTCTCTGGAGGTGTCTCTGGAGGTGTCTCTGGAGGTGCCACTGGAAACGTCTGTGGCGGCGCCTCTCTCTGCGGCTGCAGCGCGCGGAGGGGGAGCCTGGAGGCGGCCGGGTAGGCAGCGCGCGGGCGGGGCTGCTGCCGGGTTGCCTACCCTCCGGTCCACAGGGGCTCGACCCGCACCACCTCCAGCGGCGCGTCCCATAACAACCATAACACAGTCATAGTAATTAATAATGATGGATTATCATCAATTCATTCTGGCATCACGGACGTACATTTTGCGATTCAGTCGAGTCTCCCTCCCGACCTCTTTGCGCAAGCTTGTGGAATGATTTGGTCTGTGTCCCACACTGTTGTGTCCACCCCTCCCGTGTTGACGAATGTGACTGTGTTTTCAAGGATGCTACGGCAAGAAGTTTGGCCCTAAGGGATACGGCTACGGCCAGGGCGCCGGGGCCCTCCAGAGCGATGCTAGCCTGTACACCAATGGCAACGGGTAAGGTCGCGACCTGCTAGGCCATCGCCGCTTGCCAAATAAGCTACGCAAAATCACTTTGCTAGTGATTTCTATTTTATTTTTTTTAACTTTGCATTTTTTGTAGCCCGCTTTTTCTACGACTGCTTTCGCCTGCTGTGCTTTAACAAAGTAAAATGGTTTCTAAGACGCGCTGTGTTTCCCCGCCCCCTCGTGCTTTGCCACATTATCCAAAAGCTTACTGTTTAGGAGGGTCACAGGTTGGTCGTCGTGAGAGAAAGGGGCGACTCTCCCTCTCTCTCCCTCCCCTCCCTATCACGTCGACGACAGCGTGAAAGGATTTCAAAACGGCCCGCCAGTCACGCGCTGTTGGGGGTGCTTTCAGTCACGTGGCCGGCCGGCGCCGGGTGCGCGAGCACCTGCCTCCTAACCGAGTCGTCTTGTGCCATGTCCAGTGTGCTACTCCAAGAAGTACGGGCCCCGGGGAGTGGGCTTCGGAGGGGGGCACTTCATCGGTCTCACCTCCGATATCACAGACTTCTAGTGAGTGCTTGTCCCCTCCCCTGTTAAAAATAAATAAAAAACTTTTATGAGAAAGTAAACTTAAAACATGCTACGGAAACCATTCACCTGGAATCGCCTCTTCACACTTTTGCTGCTTTCCTTTTTCGCCTGCCACCTGTAGCTTTCGCTGCACGGCTACTTTTGAATAATTATGCACCTTATGTAGTAAAGTGAAAATCACATCGAAATCCACAAGGTTGGTTGATGATGCCGTTGTTGTTGTTTCGTCGGAGCAGCGAGCACCTCGCCAACAAGCCGAACACGCTCCACGACGTGGCCAAGATCCAGGCGCCCAAGGGTGAGGGCTGCCCCCGCTGCGGCGGCAAGGTCTACGCGGCGGAGCAGGTG